TTTGTAACATGCAGAAGGAAGCGAGAGAGACTCATAGTTACTTTTGAGGATTTTCATAGAATCACTTTCTGAGTAGATTTATGCATGTCAGACCATATGTCCGTCGGTCCATGAATTTTTGTAAACAAAATGCAGGTCACATTTTTTATCCGATTGAAATTTTTGATTGAAATTTCCAAGCAATATTTGTTTGACCTAAGGACGAACCTTATTGATATTGGTGAAAATCGATTCAAATTTAAATATAGCTCTCATATATATCTTCAACCGATTTTATGTTAATTGTGCATCAAATGGCCAATATCAGTAAAAAAACAACCAGAATTTTAGCACATCCGACAGAATTCAGTCTAAAGACAATTTCAGATATAGATATAGCTCCCATATATATGTATCACATTTTGAGTCCATTTATGCATGTCCGTCCGTCTGTCCATGTATATTTGTAAACAAAGTACACTTCGCATTCATTGCCCGATCCAGATAAAATTTTGCATAAATCATTTGTTTGGCCCAAGAACGAGCCCAATTGAAATTGGAGAAAATCGGTAAAAATTTAGATAAAATTCGTCCAATTTGCTTTTTATTGTACACCAATCGTGTAATATCAGCCCGAATTGCATGGAATTTTGCAAATACAACCAAATTAGGCCTGAAAATAAGTATGCCAAATTTGATCGAAATCGGTTCAGATATAGCTATAGCTCCAATATATATATTGTTTATCCGATTTGTTATTTTTGTCCTCCGCAGCCGTAATATGAACTCTGTAACAACGATATTTGGGGTAATAAATCAAATGCAGTTCAGAAATGCCTTTGCTAAATTTTATCGAGATCGGTTCAGATTTGGATGTAGCTCCCATATATAACTTCGTCCGATTTACCTTTCATTGTGCACCAAACGTCTAATATTTACCCAAATTGGTAAATATACTACCACATACGACCGAATTGAGTCTAGAAGCTAGTATGCCAAATTTGGTGAAGATCGGTTCAGATATTGCTATAGCTCCCCTATATATTGTTCTTCCGATTTGTTGTATTTCTTACCCAAAGCACTCCGTTACAACGATATTCAGGGAAATATATCAAATACAAACACAGAAATATCTTTGCCAAATTTTATCGAGATCGGTTTAGATTTGGATATAGCTCCGATATATATCTTTATCTGATTTTTAATTAATTTTGCACCAAATGGGCAATACAAGTCCGAATTTAAAAGATACAAATGCTTCGGCATATTTAGTCCTTTGAACTTTAAATTATAATCATAGCGTGTATGATTGAATTCTCCCATAAAAAACTTTTAATTGTTATGTGGAGCTCTACTAAATTAGCAAAGTGGTGTAGGGTATCATAATGTCGGCCCCACCCGACTTTAGGGGTTTCTTTACTGGTTTTCTATATATTTTTATTTTGGAAATTTTTTAAATTACTCATATCAATATCTGCGTTTCAGGTAATCGCAAAAATTGCTCTTTTTCAAATATCTGTGGAAATTTGGACAGTAATACATCAATTAATTAACGCATTCTAATCGTCTAATTATAGTCGAAATGCCATTGACCTTCGTACATTTGCAATAGTTTCCATAGGCATGTGCAGTTGCAAAGAAATTCGAAATGCAAGGATTATTGCCCACCATCAGTCAATTAAATGAACGTTGGACAGCACATCATCACAGTGGAGGGGAAGCAATTGTATCTATGGACGATAGTCCATAAGTGTGAATTTTTAAAAACATTTTTTTACGGGGTCTGCCATAATTGTAGTAGGTTAATGCTTCGGAGCAGCTCTCATATAAAGCTACCTCAACATTTTATCTACTTCGAGCGTCTTGACCAAATTTTCCGATCGACTTGGCTAAAAAATTTACAGAAAATGTTTAATATAGCTACATATAATTAGGTACATTTTCCACATAACGGTACCTCACAGGCCCACTTTCCCAACCAATATAGTCTGGGAGTTGCAAAAATTCTACACGGAGGTAATCGTATTAGTTAATAAATGTAAATTCCTTAAATGATTTTAAAACTTGTGCTAGATTTTTTCGGGGTCATAAAAGCGGACTAAAGGAAATATTTTGTAGAGGATTATCAGGGCTAGAATAGGGGTCTTAACGATTTTTTTCTGAAGCTCTATGAATCGCAGTCGTAATCGTACAGTTTTACGAATTTTTCCGTAATAAAATTGGAGCTAGGGGAGGTCTTTTAAAAATGGTTTTTATTGAGAATTAAAAAAAAAATTTGTGAAGGGCTACAATTAATAAGATTCGTATTGAAAATAATATAAGGGATATAAATGAGAAGATCTTTGTGAAAATTAATCCATTAGCATTAAACTGAGTTAAAAACAAGTGAAAACCCAGTAAAGAAAGTCTTAAAGTCGGGCGATGCCAACTTTATGATACCCTATACCACTTTGCTAATTTGGTGGAGCTCCACATAAAAATTAAAAGTTTTTATGGGAGAATTCAGTCATGCACCTTATGATTATAATTTAAAATTCAAAGGACTAAATATACCGAAGCATTTGTCTTTTTTAAATTCGGACTCGTATTGTCCATTTCATATATATGGGAGCTATATCCAAATCTGAACCGATCTCGATAAAATTTGGCAAAGATATGTCTGTGTTTGTATTTGATATATTTCCCTGAATATCGTTATTACGGAGTGCATATTACGGCTGTGGGTAACAAATACAACAAATCGGATGAACAATATATATATGGGAGTTATAGCTATATCTGAACCGATCTTCACCAAATTTGACATACTTGACTTCTAGACTCAATTCGGTCGTAAGTGCCAAATTCCATCCCATTTGGAAAAATATTAAAAGTTTGGTGCACAATAAAATGTAAATCGGACGAAGTTATATGTGGGAGCTATATCCAAATCTGGACCGATCTCGATAAAATTTAGCAAATGTATTTCTGAGCTGTAATTGCTATATTTCCCCAAATATTATTGTTACAGAGTACATATTACGGCTGCGGAGGACAAAAATAACAAATCGGATGAACAATAAATATGGGAGCTATGAGCTATATCTGAACCGATTTCGATCAAATTTGGCATACTTATTTTCAAGCCTAATTTGGTTGTATGTGCAAAATTCCATACTATTCGGGCTGATATTACACGTTTGGTGCACAATAAAAGGCAAATCGGACGAAGATGTATATGGGAGCTATATCTAAATTTTTTACCGATTATCTCCAATTTCAATAGGGTTCGTCCTTGGGCCAAACAAATGATTTATGCAAAATTTCATCTGGATCGGGTAATAAATGCGAACTGTACTTTGTTCACAAAAATACATGGACAGACGGACGGACGGACATGCATAAATCGACTCAGAATGTGATTCTATGCAGATCATAAAAAAGAACTATGGGTCTATCTCGTTTCCTTTGACTGTTACAAACAAATGCACAAAGAAATAATAACCTGACCACCTTGCGATGTATGGAATAAACATTAAGTTCTGCCAGGCCGAACTTTTAATACCCTCCATCACCTTAGGGTAAAGGAAACATTAGCACCCATTATGACCCACAAATACCAATTTTTACACACATATGTGGGAGAATGTGAGAGAAACTATCAAAATATCGAATATCGGGAGGTTCTGCTATATGGGGCTATGCCAAAACGTGGACCTATACACACAATATTTCGCCAGCGGAGCTAGAACCCATTATGGCCAACAAATACAAATTTTTAGATAAATTCCTTAAAATAATTTGACAAAAACCCTCTAAATACCAAATATCGGGAGGTACCGTTAAATGGAGGACCTATACATACAATGTTTCGCCTTACAAACTAGGACTCATTATGACCTATAAATACCAATTTTAAGACAAATCCGTGAAAAAAAAATGTGGCGAAAATTATCAAAATATCAGGGGGTATCGTTATATGGCGACTATACCGAAAAGTGGACTGATGTATCTCATTTTCAATACCTACCATCCTAGACACAATAGAAATTGTTGTGCCAAATTTTGAAGCTCTACTTCAAATAATGTGGGCTGTATCGTACGTCTGCAAAAATCACTCTAGCTTCCGAACGAAATGAAGTAGGTTGATAAAATGTTACTCAAATGTATATTATGTCTGCAGGACTTTTGGTATTTGAAATGGGCCATGTAGGTCCACGTTTTAATTAAGCCCACATATAATGGTACCTCCCAATTTTCGGTATTTTGGTGATTTAAGCGACATTATTCACCGGAAATGTTTCAAATTTGGTATGTATTTGAAGTTCGTACTGGATACTACAGCCAATGACAGAAAATTGTCTGTGAAGGTCCACGTTTTGGTATAGCCCCCATATTGATACTGCCCTATATTCGGTATTTTTTTAAGATTTTATCTGAATTTTTAACGATTTTTTTTTTTTTTTTGAAAATTGTCAAATTCATTCCAAATGGTAGACGGTATTCAAAGTTCGGGCCGGCTGAATTTATAGCTTTTTTACTGGTTTTTTATTTAGGTTTTTATAAAGGTAATGTATATTTTTTTTGATTTTAATTTTCAAATTTTGATTTTTGGAATATTCTTTTTTTAACGACTTTAGTTAATTAAATTAATGACTTTTCCCAAGGCTTTTAATGTGCCATTTTTAAAGATTTTTTTTCAAGTTCAATCCGACGAATCTTGTGATTCTTTTAATTATATTTTAAAGACCTATGTATAGAGGTTATGCTTAATATTTCAAAAATATTTTTTCAAGCGTCAATCACAGAGATTTGTATAATTTTGAAGATTTTAGGCCCCATTTAAAGTCACAACCTATCTATTTTAATTGGATCCATTTAAAGATCTTAAATTAATTTCAAATGATTCAGATTTTTATTATCTTCTTTTTATTTTTATATTTTTAACACTTTGAGTGAATTTTTTAATACCTACAATATCACCATTTTTTAATTGTTTATTTTATTTAAAATTACAATTTCTTATTTTTCACTCCACTTACCAAAATTAAATGAAGTTTATTTTCAAAAACAGAACACTTTCAATTTTTGCACAAATATTTTGCAGTCCAATATTACTTTTTTTCTGAATATTAAAGTGAAAAATCCGTTACAAGAATAATTCAAATCAAACACAAGATCCGGCAATGTGGTGATATCCGGGAAATGACGACACTTGTTGACTGTGGTGAAGCGTTGGAACGTCTGTGAATCCTGTGTAAACAAACAGGACTTTTTATATGTGGCTGGCGAATGTGAAATTGTAGCAACAGTAGCCACGACTAATACAGAGCAAAAGTCACACGCACACACACTCGTTCATACCACACCACAAACAGATATCCTACATTTCTGCACAATTGCTTTGCTTGTGAGTGTGTTTGTGCGTAGTTGCAGACTTCTGTGAGTGTGTGTGTTTGTGCGTATTTTGTATGAAAAAGGAAATATTATCCTTCGGTGTTGAAAATCGACTAACGTAAGTTAGAACACCGACCCACACATACACACACATTATAAATTGTCTCATATATATGGCTATATGGTGATGTTGTTTTTTTCCTGCTGCACCAACATAACTCGCTTGGACAACACCTCCATCATCAACAACAACAACGACAACACTGCAAATTGTTTTAAATTTGAACATCCTGTTTGGGGAAATTAGCAAAAATAAGCATCGACTTCCCGTTTCTATTTTTGTGCGGTGGTCACAAAACTTGAAAACTTTTCGACAAGGTTAATTCGGAAGGCGGCTAGCTTGGAAGTCACCACCGGTGGACGAACCAATCAATAAATACTTGGAATGCAAAAATCTGAAATATTTTAAGGAGTTAAGGAGTTATAGGCAAGGAGGAATAATTTATTGGATTATCAAAGGAATAAAGGCTGATTTGTTTAAAAGTTTTTTGGGATTATTACACCCTAACTTGATGGTTTTAAGATGTTTTTCAAAGGACTCTTAGGATATAATTATGGAAGTTTTATGAGGGTGTTTTGGAAGAATTTTTCAAAAGCCATAAACGTGGGTTTTTTTAATGTTTTCCAATTGATCGTCGGAGGAATAAAAGTGTTTTTTAAGGAATTTTTTAAAAGCACTCAAAAGAACTATCAGAAAGAAAACCTGGATTTTGTAATATTTTTTTCTAAAAGAATAAAGGACTAAAATTGCGTATTTTTGAAGAATTTTTTAAAAGGACTGTCAGAGCCATAATCTTAAAAAATTTTAAAGACTTTTGCCAAAGGCCCGTCGGATGAATAAAAATGTATTTATAATGAGTTTTTTTTTTTTCAAAAGAACTTACAATAATCATAGATTTTTAAAGAGTTTTTCAAAGAAATGTAAGGGCAAAAGGCGGAGTTTTGGAAAATTTTTCTAAAGGACTATCAGGAAAAAATCGTGGATATTAGCGAAGTGTTGTAGATAACTACCCGAAAAATAAATGTGGAGTTTTTAAAGAAATTTTCGAAGGGACAATAAACGTGGATTTTTAAAGAAATTTTCGAAAGGATAATAAACGTGGATTTTTAAAGTAAATTTTCTGAAGGACTATCAGAACAATAAACGCGGATTTTTAAAGGTTTTTTCGGAAGGACTATCAGAACAATAAACGTGGATTTTTAAAGAAATTTTCTGAAGGACTATCAGAACAATAAACGAGGATTTTTAAAGAATTTTTCGGAAGGACTATCAGAACAATAAACGCGGAACTTTTAATAATTTTTCTGAACGACTATCAGGAAAAAATCGTGGATTTTTAAAGAATTTTTTTGAAGGACTATCAGGACAATAAACGTGGATTTTCAAAGAATTTTTCTGAAGGACTATCAGGACAATAAACGTGGATTTTTAAAGAATTTTTCTAAACGATTAGCAGGACAATAAACGCGGATTTTTATAGAATTTTTCTAAAGGACTATCAGGACATTAAATGTGGATTTTTAAAGAATTTTTCTAAACGCGGACAATAAACGCGGATTTTTATAGAATTTTGCTAAAGGACTATCAGGACGTGGTTTTTATATTTTTCTAATTTAATTGTTTTTAAGAATTTTTCTGAAGGACTATCAGGACAATAAACGTGGATTTTTAAAGATTTTTCCAAAGACCTATTAAGACATTAAACGTGGATTTTTAAAGAATTTTTCTAAATAACTATCAGGACAATCAATTTGGATTTTTTAAGAATCTTTCTTGAGGACATCCAGGACAATGAACATGGTCTTGTAAAAAATTTTCCTAAAGGGCTATCAGAACAGTAAAGGTGTATTTTTTAAGAAGGAGGACTATCAAGACAGTTAATGTGGATTTTTTAAGAATTTTTCCAAGTGGACTATCAGGACAGTTAAGGTGGATTTTTTAAGAATTTTTCCAAGAGGGCTATCAGGACAATAAATATGGATTCTATTAGGACATTAAACGTGGATTTTTAAAGAATTTTTTCTAAAGGACTATCAGGATATATACGTGGAATATAAGGATTTTTCTTAAGGACTTTTAGGACAATAAAAATGGATTTTTATAAAGGACTATCAGTACAATAAACGTGATTTTTTAAGAATTTTTCTTAAGGACTTGCAGGACTATGAAGGTGGATTTTAAAAGAATTCCTCAAAACGATTATCAGGACAGTAACATGGATATTTTCATGGAAAGGTCACAATTGTAGATTTGTAAAAGTTTTTTTTTCAAGGATTATCAAGACAATATTTGGGGATTTGTAAAGACATCTTCCAAAGGAAGATTTTGGAGACATTATTTACCGAAATTGTTTTAAATTTGGTATTGAAGTTTGTAATGGATACTAGAGCCTATGACAGAAGATTGTCTGTGCAGGTTCACGTCTTCTTATAGCCCCCATATAACGGTACCTCACCATATTCGGTATTTTGGTGATTTTAGCGACATTATTCACCGAAATTGTTTCAAATTTGATATTTGAAGTTCGTAATAAGACATAAAAATTGTCTGTGCAGGTCCATGTCATCGTATAGCCTCCATATAGCGGTACCTCCCGATATTTGGTATTTTGATGATTTAAGCGACATTATTCACCTGCATTGCTTCAAAATTTGGTATTTGAAGTTCGTAATGGATACTACACCCTATGACAGAAAATTGTCTGTGCAGGTCCACGTTTTTGTATAGCCCCATATAGTAGTTATTCCCTATATTCGGTATTTTGATGATGTAGGTCCACGTCGTCGTATAGACCCTGTATATAACGTTTACATTCGGTATTTTTAAGATTTTAACAGAATTTTTAACGGAATTTTTGAAAATTGCCAAATTCGTTCCAAGTGGTGGAGGGTATTCAAAGTTCGGCCCGTCGGAAATTATAGTTTTTTTACTTTTTTTTTCATTTTTCTAAAATCCCATCAGAACATCGTTTTCAAGGAATTTATGAGTAATCATATTCCAAGGCGCACATGAGCAACACCATTAGAAGTTGCTATACATTGTTCCAGGATACCATGTTTACCAACAAATGTTTCCCTCTTCATTCAACTGCTTAACAACATGGTAATGCAAAGTGTTAAGACATTTTCTCGTTTTCGATATTTTTTTCCAAAGCAATAACTAATTGTGGCCTCCCAAGTCTCCACTTCGAGTATGGAAACAAAATTTAACAGCTGCTCGTTAATAAATAAAGTCACCAGAAAATGATCCCTAAACGCCTGCCTTGCATCTCATCTTTCAAATGTTTTAAAGTTTATGTTTTGTAAATAAACTATAAAGTAACGCCCTGCTTCAATACCATGGCCAGCAGGAGCGAAGACAGTTGCTGCTAACAAATTGGCTGTTGGCTTCTTTTTTTCCTATACAAGTAATTTAGTGGTCCAGGGTGTCCTTTAACAAGATGGAGAGAGAGAGACAAAGAACGTCTTGATGTTTTTTTTTGTTTTGTTCCTCTGTTTTACTTATCACTTTGGCTTCTAAAGTCCACTGTTGATGGGTATATGAGTCAATGCAGATGAAAATGGCAAGAAATGGTTTTTAAGAATATTTTAATAAAGGATGATTTAATTCAAATATGGATTTTTAAACAATTTTCAAATCGAGGGTTTTGAAAGTTATTATTTTTAGGGATTTTTAGAAAATTGTGGATTTTATAAATTTGTTTTCTGAAGGACTATACGAACTAAAATCATCGATGTTTAAATGTGGATTTTGACAATTTTTGAAGGACTCTCAGGGACATTGTGATCGTGAATTTTTTATATTTTTTTTTTTTCAGGATTATAATTGTGTATTTTGCAGAAATTTTTCTGCACGACAATGAGGACTATAAATGTAGGTGTTTTTGTGCTTTTTTTTCTGGCGGAAATTTTTGGAATGATTTTTTAAGAACTATTTTTCTGAACGTGAATTTATAAAGAAGGACTGTCATTGTCAAAACCAGAATTTTTATGGATTTTGATGGACTATAAACGTGTATTTAATAGTAAAGAATTTTTAAGAAAGTGGATTTCTCGAGAAAGGATGCCAAGTCAATAAAGGTGGAATTTTAAGATTTTTAAAGGATTTTTCGGGCCCTAATCCTGGATTCTTAAGGACTTTTCTTAAAGATAACTAGAGCTATAAACTTAGATTTTTAATATTTTTTTCTGAAGGACCACCTGGACCCTGAACATAAATGTTTTAAAGAATTTTTCTAAAGAATCAACAAGGCTCTGGAGTTGGATTTTTGAAGAATTTCAAAAAGTGGATTTTTACAAGCATTTTTGTGAAGGACCATCAGGACCATAAACGTGAATTTTTAATGAAATTATTTGAAAAATTATCAAGACTTTTGAAAAAAAAAATTATGTAAAATACTATCATTTTTCTGAAGATTTATGGGGGCTCTGAATGCACCAAAGTTGTGGATTTTTAAAGAAGGGCTATCCGGCCCCAGAATCATCTACGTTTAAGGAAGTTTTCTGATGATGAGTACTTCGATTTTAAAAGAATGTTTCTGAAGAATAATCAGGGTTCTGAACGTGAAGGACTATTAGGAACCATATTTGTAGATTTTTTTAGAAATTTTGTTGAAGGATTATCCTGGCTAAATAAGTGGTTCATACCAGGCTTTGGGTTAATAAAAATATTGTGGTGTGTGTAACTTAAGAAAATTGGACTCTTACATAACATTTTATAAGAATTATAATTATTCAAGATTTTGACCCTTTGTGGAGGATGTACTTGATGGAGT